CATCATGGAATTGCTCTCGCATGAGCATGCTTAACCAAAAAGTTCTTACGGATCTTGTAACATCTCGATAATGATGTATTTTTAATTTTAACCTTAAGTATGAAAGAATATTGCATTTTGACTATTGGGTTTGAGAAAGATTGCAAGAATGGCCCATAGTGGCATTTTGGTAAATTTGGCAAGAGGTTAGTACGTTGAGCATACGTTGTGTACGCTAGGCGTTTAGGGCAGACCCTAGTATGTTGGGCATACACCGTGTACACAAGGCGTATGTGGTAAGTCCTCAAACCCTGATTTTCAGGGTTTTGTCCATATTTAAGCATCATTATCTTTCATTTTTTATTCCCTCACTAGCATCCATCTGAGAAAAACGACCCTCTAGCTAACCTTAAGTGAGAAGAGTGCATCTTGAGCTTATCTTCGTGTTTTGTGTTGTTATTGAAGAAGAAGAAGAAGGTGGTGAGAAGAACTTGGAGCTTGGAAGTAACTTGGATATGAGATTATCTCCTTGCTAGCAACCTCCATGAGGTAAAAATTTCATAACGTGATCACCCTGTCTTGTAGATCTAGCCATTTTTTTTTCATTTAGGGCACTTTTGGTCCCAAATATGGTGATTCTTGAGCATGGCATGCTCTTAACCAAATAAGTCATCCTTGCAGACCTTATGAGGAGTCTTGAGTAATAAAAATGTGGTTCTGATGCTTAGTTTTTCTCCATGCATGCTCTAGAAGGTCTTAAGACATTAAGATGTTGCGATTTTGTGTATTAAGCACTTAATGGACATGCAAAGTCATAAAATATGAAGAATCGTCTCAACAATGTTGAAGACCCAGAATACTAGGTCAAATAACGTTTATGAACCTGGTCATAGAGGATCCCGGAAATATCGGACATCTTGTTGGCTAGTTTAGACTATAATTTGACACTAGTAATCTGCACACAACACACTGTTTTTTAGTCTAAGCTTACTCTATGAAATTCTTTACTTATTCTTACTAAGAACTCATTGTAATCTTCATTTTATATCAATAAAATCATCAAGACAGGTGGTCCTTATCACCTACCAAGGTTTTATGCCGGAGATCCTAGCAAGGATCAATGGCTTTCCTTATAAACCATTGTGTCACTTTCCTTTACCATTTGTTATTACACAATCTGAACATCACAACCTCTCATTCAATTTGGTTGATTAGTGCTTATGTAATTTTTTACCAAAACAATTTGGCGCCCACTGTGGGGCCATAGTTTTCAAAATCCTCAAAAAAAAATCATGTCCACACAATTGATCCACTCTTCGTCCTCTATTCATTCCATTCCAACCAAAAACCTACCACTTCCTCCGAGTGGGCACCCTACTCAGAGGAAAACGCCTAACACTTCCAAGAAAAGCACCCTTTCAATCGCTAATCCACGAAGTTTGGGATCCTCAGGGATTCAGGATCCTACTGCCTCAGTCACTACTGCAAAACTTTATGATGAGGAAAATGACGCAACAGGTGACCCAACAGCAGGAGGAGAATAGAGCACTACTCAAAGAAGTGGAGAGGATGAAGGTGGAATTTTATAAATCCCAGAAAACAACGCCCACAGTTGCGCAACCAAGGATCCTGGATTTCGATAATGCAGGATCCTCATAAAATCTCCAGAAGAACACGATTCCTACCACTATGGCGTCATCCTGGGGCAACTATGGACAACCGATCGTCCATGATCAATAATCTCAATGAGCCTTTTAACACTCCTAGAAACCTTGATTCTAGTAACTTTTTAAACATCAATACTATTAATACTAACTATACTAACGTTGATGTAGGAATAAACCCAAACATGGCCAGGCAACCTCAACAATTAAGACAAATGATATCCAGTGTACTCAGAGTGGTCCAACCAATACCAGAAGCTTCCCCTACAAGCCACAGGATCTTGAGATTTTCTCCCGCGATAGCCGATACCGAAGTTCCTAAGCGCTTCCAAACTCCCAGCATGAAGCTATACGATAGAACTACGGATCCTGAAGAGCATATAACCCAATACAGAGAAAGGATGGAGATCATTCCCATCCCATGGCACTTGAAGGAAGCTTGCATATGCAAAGGCTTTGGATTGACCCTTACAAGAACAACCCTCAAATGGCTACTAAACGTTCCCCCATACTCTATTACTTCATTTGAACACTTAGTGTAACATCCCAATTTTCCAGACCAAAATTTTCTTTTTTTATATATATAATGTTTTAGAAAAATATTTATAAGAAAATATCATCAAGTCATAACACTTCATAAACCACAATCACATGTCTCAAAACCATATCATAAAAATAGTAATAATGTCAGAGTACAATCTCAAGAATCTGATGATGCATAAATCATGTGTGTATGTGATGCGCTGCTACTGTGTCAGCTCTTTCCCCTTCGATGAAGACGTACCTGAAAACCAAACTAAAATTGTAAGCACAAAGCTTGGAGAGTTCCCCCATCATACCGCATATCATACATAACACATACTGCATAACATAACGGGGAACTAACTACCCCTTCGGTCCTGTCGACCGGTACCTTGCCTAGCATATCCGGGTGTTGACCTCCCCTTCGGTCATGTCGACCGTTACCTTGCCTAGCATATCAGGGTGCTGGCCTACCCTTTCGGTCATGTTGACCGGTAACCTTTCCTGTCATTTATGGGTGCTAGCCTACCCCTTTTGTAACGCCCCGATTCTCAGGTATTGCTTAAATAAGATTTATTGGGTTCAGCTCTACTCGACGAGTTGGTTGACCTACTCATCGAGTAGTAGCGGGGTGGGATCACATTTTAGGTGACCTAATCGTCGAGTAGCAGCGGGGTGGGATCGTGTTTTAAGTGACCTACTCGACGAGTCCGTGTTGGGACTCGACGAGTAGGAGCTGGAAGTGGAAACCCTAAATCCCGGGGTTTGCACCTCTATTTAAAGGAGCCTTATCCTCCTTTGGCCTCTTTACAGTCTTTGAGAGCCCCCTTAAAACCCTAATTCATGTGTGTGTGCCTTGGTGTGGTGATGAAGCTTGGAAAAGAGGATCTTGGAGGAAGAAAGCTAAGAGTGCAAAGGAAATTGAAGCAAGGAAGGAGTGGGAAGCCGGATTTACCTCAACTAGCATCCTTTGGAGGTATCAAAGTGCCATTTTTACTTGCCTTTTTCCCCTTTGTTGAGTTTCTAGGGCTTTTATGGATCTTTAAGTTGGTATGATGAGATATGGGCTAGATCTGAAGTTGTAACTTCAGATCTGGACCCTCCTTGGATTCTAGAAGCATAAAGTCACAATCTTGGTTGTGATTAAGGTCCCTATTGAGCATGAAGTTCCATTAATAACTTAGAATAAACATTTAGAGCCTTTATGGTCATGCATGCACGTAAAGTTTGCAACTTTACATGATAAGCATGCCCTAGAAGCTTGGATCTATGAGTCAGAGTCATTGCATGGCTCAAAACAAGTCTGTATGAAAAAAGGACTGAATGGACTTGGCGAGTTGCAAGGTTAACTCGGCGAGTCACGTGAAGATGGTCGTGAACTCGACGAGTTGATGAACAACTCGGCGAGTCCGATGAAGATCGCCATAAGACTCGACGAGTTAAAGAACAACTCGGCGAGTCGGATGAGTTTTCTTTGGGATATGTATGAGTGTGTATCCGTCGAGTTGAAAGGAGGGAATTCGATAGTTGACCTTAAGTTTGATCGAGAATCAAAGGAACTCGACGAGTCTCTCCGATGACTCGGTGAGTTGGAATGTACTTCAGAGAACTCGGCGAGTTAAGGTCAACATGGACTGAGGACTTTGACTTTAACCATGGGTTGAATAGTGGGTTATGGAGCACCTTATAAGGATAAGGACTTATGAGTATTTTGTGCTATGACGATAGGTGGTGGGGCTTGTGTCAAATGAACCGAGAGTTGGTGTTTGCCTTTCGAGTCGACATCTGCAAGGTGAGTTATCCTTACTATATCGATTGGGCCTACGACACCAAGGCCGACCCCTTTAGTTGTTATTGTTATGGTATGTTGCATGTGGTTATGATCTGTTAGTTCGGAATTGAGGTAGATAGTATGTTATGCTCTTATGGTCCGTAGGGATTGGTGTGTTAGTGACCTGCTACATCGGTACTCTAGTTACATGAGAATTCTATGGTTGATGATCAGTGTGACAGATATGCTTGATGTTTATATATGTCTGTATATGATAGTATGCGCACATGGTTATTTGCTTGTGGCTGGGTTGAGGCGGTCCTGCTTTGTGCTGAAGGCCAATATACCCTATGAGTGGTCCGGGGAGACTATAGGCCCACGTGGCGGACTAGTCATACCGAAGGCTTGGGATGGATTCAGACAGACTGTAGGCCCTGTAGAGAGTTCCTTGTTGATCGCGGGTTAGACAATGAGAGGAAAATAGTTGCATTCCAACTTATGGGGGAGCTGATGTATGTTGATTTCGCAAGGATAAATGACATCTTGGGCTTACCTTCCTTGAACAGATTCGTGGATTTCGATTCACTACCCTCCCCCCTCCCCCCCGAAGTTCAACCACGAGACTTTTTGGATGGAAATTACTGGTGGAATCTTTTCTTGTGCTGTCTACGATAAAGAAACTTCCATCATTCACCCGTTCCTCCGCATTGCCCATTGTATCTTATTGTGCAGTGTTTTTGCCCGCAAAGAAACTGGTCAAGTTACGGAGATTGAGCTATTCTTCCTTTGGTGCATGACACAATGTGGAAACCCATCATTCCCAAATTTTGTGTCGTTCTTTTTCTACAAATGTGCACTCATGAAAACCAAAGCAACCGGTGATATTTTCACTAGATGATTTGTCACCCTTTTAGCCCGTGACCTTGACATTAAGCTCCTGGACGACTACACGCCCGTAGACAACAA